CTAAAGAGATATATGAATATCTGTACATGTATGCAGGACTGAGGAGACGTATAATATAATAACTATTATATACACTACACTACAGAATGATATGAGAATTTGTAAAAACGTACATTTGTACAGTTGTGCAAATAAGCATTATGTTACAGAGGAGTTAATGAGTGCGGGCGGTCTGGGAAAAAAGTGAGTAAAGAGCTGGAAAAGGTGATGTCCAGAATGAGAGGGGTCAGCTGCCAACGTACTTCATCACTCTGCTGTTGTCCTGAAGCACTGACAGACTACACTGGGTGATCCTCTCCGCTGCCCTGATTATGCGCTGCAGTTTGGCTGATTCTCAGGAGGTGGAGGAACCAAACTAGATGTTTATGGATGATGTGAGGATGGACTCAATGATTGCTGTGTAGACTGAATGTAGATTGAATTTCTTCAGCTGTCTCAGGAAGAACATCCTCTGCTGTGCTGTCTTGACTATGGAGACTATGGAGAGTTCCTCTCCCACCTCAGATCCAGGAACTTGAGTGACTCCACAGCATAACACAGGTCATTCCATTCAGGTCCACGTTGTTACCTTCACATTTTAGTTGTAAACAGTTGCTTTTGGTGTAATTTCACATAAATAGGTTTTTGTGTTCTAAATATACTAAATCTGAACCAACAGAAACTTACACCTTTGTGAAGATCTTTCTCCCTCTGTATATGAGCCAGTCTTTCATATCTGAAAGAGCATCACTCTTCAGCATCACAAACTCTTTTAGCAGCTCCTTCTGCAAGAAGAAGTAACTATGTTACAAAAGCAACTCCACTTAGTCTGAGTGACTCTGACAAGATCCCTGAAATGGCAAGGCTTGTAGGGTGCTCCCGGTCAGCAGTGGTGAGTATCTACTGTCACAAACCAGCAACAGGGTGTTGGGCACCCACGGCTCATCGATGTGCAAGGGCAGTGAAGGCAATCCCGTGTGGTCCGAAACCACAGAAGGGCTGCTGTGGCACAAGCCACAGAAATGTCTATTGATGGCTCAGGGAGGAATGGGGCTGGGCTGGCAGAGTGCCCACACTGTCGTCCGTTGAAAGCTGGTCCACCATGGAACTGGACCTTAGAGGATTAGAAGAAGATCGCCTGGTCCAAGAAGTCCTGTTTTCATTTCCATCACATAGACGACCAATGCAGGGAATGTGATGCTTTGGGTAATGTTCTGCTGGAAAACCCTGGGTCCAGTCATTCATGTGGATGTATGAACAACTAAACATTAAAGCAATCAGAATGTAAGGAATGATTGTTGTATTGTGAATTAAATATTAATATTAAATAAAACTGTGGTATTGATTAGTTTGAAGTGGAATTCGTCTGAGAATATGTGTCTTATTTCAAGCCTCATGCATGTCCATTTCAGGCCAGCAGTGGGCAGCATCTGTACACTGTCAGTCCACTAGGTCCAGTAACCAGGTATCAAACACAAGGCCGCAGACCAAGTCAGGCCCGTGACACATGTTTTCCACACAGGTGAACAGTGGGGCAACCATTGTGAGTAATATAGTGAGGAACTACTTTTACATCAGAGCAATTTGTGGTGTCATTCCATGCAAAACAACCAATTGACAACCAATTAATGCCAGCACTTGAACACATTTGCAGTGAAGACGGTCAAAAAAATTAAAATTCAATAGCAAATTCAATATTCCACAGCATGACAGTAGCTAAATGAGTGCAAAACAAAGACAGTGGAGACAGAGAAAAAGTACACACAGCTTATCTCAAAATCCACTTATCATCCGTAGAAATTTACTTGGAAGAGCTGCAGATTTTAGAATATCCTGTTTGCAATATTTTATTGAGATTGTCAGGTAAAAATACTGCATAAACAGAGCACAGCATAAAAATACTGCATACGCAGCTAACTGTGCTACAGTTATGAAGCCTAAGCTACACTAAAAAACAAATTTGCTACCTGTGTAATGACGGAGTCGTACTACAAAGCGGGATGATATGCAGATGATAAGGTAGTTCCAATTTTAGCTTAAACATTTAAGAACGGTCCGTCTATGATGTTGTACTAAGATGTGTTTTTTTTACGAAGCTTTTTGATAGATTCCTAAAGGAGGCTTTGTAGAAGAAGATTTTGTATTCACAGAGATGAGTTTGGTGACAATATAAGTCCACACTGTTAGAAATAAAGGTTCTGTGCAGGTACATTTTTCATTCATTAAGGTACAAACAGTGTAAATGTTCCCTCAAAGGTACAACAGTTGTTTTAAGGCCCAATTGTGAACCTTAAGTAAGTTTTTCCAGGTGAAAAGTACATATTCGTACCTGTTTATAACCTAAAGTTTTAAAACAGAACAATAAAATAAAAGCCTGGAGACGAGACGGGGTGTGTGGGGTCAGTACAACTTAGAAAATATAATTTCAGTGAATTATAATACAATTATGTTCCCTGACTAAAAGTACTGAGATGTACCCTTAAGGGTACCACCCCAGTGACAAGAGGGGCACTGCCCCTGTGATGGTTTCATACATTTTTTTTTGTGAGAGTGCAGTGTTTGTTAGCAACATTAGCTTAGCATCTTCCATTGTAAACTAAAGAAGCACACATTAGATATCAAACATTTCTTGGCTGATCTGGGTGATAAATCATTTTAATTCGATTTTTTGCCATCTATTCCTTTAAACAAATGGGCAAAGTGTATATTTTTATTTATACATTGTGTTTTGCAACAATACTTTGTGTTTAGCAACTTTTTTTGAAAACACAGATTTATAGAATAGTATTATAATAGTATTGGCACCCATCATTAATATTTGGTGAAGAATAATCTTATCAAAGCTGGAGAACACTTGTTAAGGGATCTTGGACCACTTCTCCATGCAGAACATTTCCAGTTCCTTGATATTCTAAGGCCCTCTTTAATACACACCACAGGTTTTCAATTGAGTAAAATGGGAAAGGCTCTTAGAAGAATTATGATATGGGTTTTACAGTGGTTATGTTTATTATAAAGTGTTTAATCAAGTACATGTAATAAAGAGATGTGAGAAGTGTCCTTGTTTTGGAATTTTGTAATCATTCAGGCAGGAGATTTCCTGCTTTTTAGGAACTGGTATGAGGACAGATTTTAAAGCACACAGGCACAACAGCCTTTATTTCTAGCTGGATTGATCACTGTAATGGTCGCCTAACTGGACTTCCAAAAAAGACAAACAGTTTCAGATGATTCAGAATGCAGCTGCTAGATTCTCACTACACTGATAGAAATAAAGGTTCTGTGCAGGAACGTTTTACGCTTCGCTTAGAAGATGGTTCATGCTAAATTCCTGTGCATTTGCACTGCCAGTAAGATAACAGCATTAATAAACCAACATACACTCACAAAGCAAATAAAGCAGGGCTGTGAACGTCAATGGAACATCATGTTTCTCACTCAGTTTCTCCACCTATATCCACCCACCCATCTATCTATCTATCTATCTAATTAAGATTATAGTCCTAATTCTGTCACTGTGTGTCTCTCTTAATTTATGAACCTTAAAGATAAATAGCATACAACAGATTATGTAGCATACAACCTCCCCCCAAAAAAAAATTAATCCTGATTGATAGTCTAAGTTCTTCTAAAATATTCATAGCTTTCAAAACCTCTGCCATTATACCTTAAGTAGCCTAAATACTGTAAAAATTGCATTCAACCACATTTTATAGTTAACAAAGACATTGTATTACAGATCCAATCAAATTTCTAATAGCAAGTAACTGTTATTCCTTTTGCATTTTATACTTGTATAGATTTGAAAGGAAATATTTTAGTAATTCAACCCAAGTAGAAATATAGGATCTTTACTTGACTTTGTTGTATAGGCATTTTGGCAAAACAACTACCCTACAGTTTTGCCAACATCCAAGCATTTCAAGCAGCTCTGTAATGAAACGTAAATTGAACATGGGAATTAAATTCATGTATTAAATTTTAAATGACATAACATTGTGGAGAATGACATAGTATAACAGCAGAAAACAAAAGCGATTTAAATTAATCAGAATATGTGCCTGAGTTTGTGTCATTTTAATGTATAACAAAAAGAACTATTTGTGTTCCATTGATACCTGATAGTCCAACCACTGCAGGCTCCCCCAAACAGTTCATTTTGTCTGTGACATCCTTCTCTTCACTCACACGAACACAAACTAACAGTCTATCATAGCCATTAAAAGCAAACAGTCGTGTACAAAAGTTTGGGTGCCTCTGGTCAAATGACATGTTAACACATTGGAAAAAACAATGTGAAATGAGGCAAAAGTTATGTCATATTTAAAATTTTATGTTTTATCTTCTCCAATATATTAAATTCAGCACATAAATAGAAATTTTGCACTAAAATTGGCTAAAGAATGCCATATGTAAGTTTGTACCCTGTAGTTGTTTTCACATAGTAAATGATGTTTGTACGTTTTTAAAGATTGAATTTTACTTATTTAATTATTTTATTTAATTCCTTATTTGTATGTTTATTTTCAGCTGAAAATGCTTGATGTAGTAAATGAAATACATTTTTTTTATTGTCAGTAATTAAAAGTAAATTACATGTTAACCGCAGCATGCTACAGGACTCTTATTATGACAGCAAAGGTGTTTGTGCTTGAACAAGGAGAAGTTCTCTACTGCATGATCGTCATCCATTGTGGCCAAAAGAGAGCAGATAAAAAGTGCATTTCTTTGACAGTTTTATTAATTTCTTTATTTTGACTTGCTGTAACTACTGAAATGAATATATATAAAGGAATCCTCAAAGGCATATTTAGCTAGCTATTGGTAAATTCAACATTCATAATTATATTATTTATATCATAGCTCTGGCCTATACTCCACTGGAACAATCCTGTATGTGCTATTCGAATAGAGCTGCGTATAAATAGTTGAATGACACTCCCTTTTCTATCGGCTTTTCTTGATTTCGCTCTGTTGTTTGATTTGGTATCCATGTAGAAATAGGGCAAGAAGATTGACTCAAGTATAAAGCCTGAGATCAAAGTTCATATTGGTCTGTGTAATGATTTATATCTCAAGAGATCACCATATACTAAAAGGGAAAATGAGACTGTAGCTGCATGTGAAAGCAGACTTACTATATTTTGGTCAGTTCAGATGCCTTGTAGGTCTGAATCTGTATGGTCTTTGACCCCAGGGCATTGGCATTCAGTTATTCCTCACACGGCACAGTCGTTAAGTGAATGAGGAATTCAATGCACTTAGGGTAAGTCTTTATTTTACTTACTAATGTTAAATTGTTAACCCCTTAAAATCCAAGGCGTATTACATACTGAGGCTTATTATTCAGTAACAGGGGCTTCAGTGCAAACTGGTTGAGCTTTTCTTAATGTATAGAGGTGCGTAATAGAGCTTGGTCCCTGCTGGCGGGCCCTGGCCCGTTAAGGGGTTAATCAGTCATCACCTATAGCTGATTAAGCTGATTAAATTAAGCAATGGAAAATTTTCACTGTATAATACTTCTTTAATTTAGAATAAACAATAATGGTACACATACTCATGTATAGTTCTATGCAAACATTTGGATCAAATTACATATGTTGTTTTTCTAAATGTAAATAAGTACACATCCTACAAAGAGCACATTTCTTCACATGCACAATTATTGTTTATTTGCTGAATTTAGCACATTGAGAAAAAAAAGTAAAATACAAAATGTGGCCTGTGCAAAAGCTGTCGCACAATTTGTATTTTATGGTTTATTGTTCCAATATGTTGAATAGAAATTGTGCACTAAAATGTGCAGAAAATGCCATAATAAAGTTTGTTTCCGATAGAGAATGTAATGGGGGTGTTCAAACTTTTGCATATGACTGCGTAAAGAGTAACTTTTTGAACAGACATTTTCGACATTTCTGTTTTCAAACATTTGCTGTTTCTCAGGACTCAGTACACATTCTGCTGCACTTGTGCTTGAAAAAAACTTGAGTGATATGTCACAGATCAAATAAGCCCTCTAGAAGAAGACGTCAACTGATTTCTGTGGACTTTGGCCTTGTTATGAAGTTTGTAAAGCGTTTGTGCTGTTTTTTTATGCTCACACTTGGCCTTGTTTTATGATTAATGAGTAATGTAGTGCCTTGAATGGAGGCATTCAGGGTCATTTAATAAACTGTGCATATTTTCTATAAATTTCGCTCCTTCATGGCTCTCCTTGCTTTTGTGACAAATGCTGTTGTGTTTCATTTGATTACATTGAGTAAATGCATGTGGCTAAAATTTTATCAGATTACAATCCACATCCATTTTAATGCTGGCTTTTACAGGCCCTTGTACGCTTGGCCTCGCCATTTCCCCTCAGGGGGAATACCTAATGCCATCCTAAATGTCATTCCTTTACTTTTGACTTCAGCAGCAGAACTTGCCCAGAAATAATTTCCCTTTTCAAACCCACAAATAATGGAAGACAAAGCTATTTATAAGCCACAGCAGTAAACTACTTTAAAATGCTGAACATTTCAAAACCATAAGATTCAATTTGCTGGCCTTCAGGCTGCAAACTACTTCATCTGTTTTATATGGCTGCTGATACAACTTCATCACTTTACTAGGTGGCTGGCTAGTTGGCGTGGTAAAGGCTACACCACTACCAACAACAAAAAGAAAGGCCAAAAAAAGTATTTTTCTTTAAACTTTTAGAAATGACAAAATTGATTGCTAGACAAAAAGTTTATGGATGTTATGTTGAGACTTTTTTTGCATTGCAGAGTGGGTAAACAGAGTCAGTGTGTTGTTTTTTCACAATAGATTATAAAAAACAGGCAAGCACTTTTAAACAGAATGAAATATACTTGAATGGGCATTTTAAACATCTGGGCTGGGGTTCGGCAAACCAAATGTTAAAATGAGCAATTTTGTCCATTCAACCAAAATCCAAAACCACCTCGGGAGCCAAAACATTTTATGCCTATTTTACCATCTTGGCTGTAAATATGTCTTAGTATGTGCTAATGTGCTAGTATAGGCTAACAAATTTAATATAAACGAAAACACAGACTTACTTTGCTCTGCCTGAACTTAAGCTCAGCTATAGCTGCTTTTCTCGCATCACTGGCAGGACACTTTTCCTCAAAAGTAGAACATTTTCTTGTTAAATGTCTCTCAAAGTTTTTTTACGAGGCTGAAGTCAGCTTCTCATTTGCTAGCTTCTTGTTTGCATTTTACTATTCCACCTTAAAAGAATGTAACTGCAGCTTCATGACTTTTTAGTGTTTGATCATTTCTCATTGCAGATTATATGTATCAGGAAACCAGCTGGAGTGATTATAAATGCAAATAAGTCAATTATGGATGTTTGTCATAGATCTTTCTCTTTGCTGTTTCATTAGCCACTAGCTAGACAAGATTGTTGTCATTGCTATGGTGACCAGCATTAGCAGATATAGCTTACACTAACTCGAGCATTTAAAGCCATATAGTGTTAAAACTGTGTTAGAATGAACAGCAGAGCTTTATTTTACTGCAAAGGAGGATTATTTTATTTTTACCTAAAAATCTAATTCCGCTTTGGAGCCACAACAGGGCAGTAAAAGAGCCACATGTGGCTCCGGACCTTTATGTTGCCGACCCCTGGTCTGGGTGTACCACCAAAATATAAAATATAAATGGGAAACCCATATCTTAGAGACTGTAGCCTAGGTGTAACAGCCTTGAATACCGTAAAAGAGGTCCCCAGCCCAGTGAGAGATAATCAGCATTCTGCAGCCCTCAAAAAGAAAAATGTTCAAAAAACCTTCTGTACTGAGAGCTAACTTAAAGGAATGCTTTAGCAAGAAACCAAATTTGCACAATTTACCATGTACCCTGGTTGTAGTCAATCAGCCAAGACATGTTTGGTGTCCAAATTTTGCTTATTTAATGCTTTAAATACAAGTCTATAAAGACCTGGATGTGGTTTGAGTGGCTCGAGAAATGTTTTGTATTTTTGCAAAAGATTTGGGTGACCATAGACTTTTGTTTGATAGCAATGTTAGCCTCGTGACTCATGTGCTAAACTGAAGAATAAAAATTTGTCTTGGCTGCTTGACTACATCTGGGGTAAGTGGAAAATTGTGAAAATATGATTGTGTAAATATTTTCACTGAAACATTCCTTCAAAGGTTTTTGCGCTGTGTTTGGACTATGTGTGTTTTGTTTATACATTTGGTTGGTTTCTTCCTTACTGAACAATCTGAAAATAACTGTTTCAGACTGCATTGCTGAGTTTGAGGAAGCAAACAATTAGGTGAGTCTTTAAACAGCCTGCATTTTAATATAATACTACAAGTACTAGTAAATAAAAGCTATTGTGAAGAGTAAAAGAATAAAATGCATTTGCAATGTCTTTCAGGGATGAAGCTTTTCAGTGTGACTCTACTGATTTTTTCTGGTTTTATGAAGACCACATCAGGTAGGTGTCCACGTCCTATAACATATTTTTGCATAAATAAATAGTTAAGATGTAAACAAAGTCAAGGTGAAGGTATCACTTTAAAAGCTATTTAAAAGCTGTGTTTGAACGAAAGGGCTACAATTGCGGCATATATCATCCATAGGAATGGCATAAAAATTGGTGGCATTAATAATTTACTGCATTATTAATGTGGCAACTTTGACAACTCTAGTAATAGCACAAGAAATGACTTACTGATCTGAAAAGTATTTGACCTTTCTTTCTTATTCTAGCGCATTTGAAAGTAGTTGGTCCAGCTGCTCCCCTTGTTGCTGAAGCTGGTGAAGACATGGTGCTACCCTGTTCTATCCAGCCTAATATCAGTGCTGAGGACATGACGGTGGAGTGGTTCAGGCTGCATCTGACAGATACAATAGTGCATCTCTATGAGGCTTATGAAGACAAAAATGAGAAGCAGGTGGAGTCATACAGAGGGAGAACAGCTCTGTTTAAAGAAGAGCTGCAGAAAGGCAACACCTCGCTGAAACTCTCAAAGGTCCAACCATCCGATGAAGGAGGTTACAAGTGTTTTGTTGAGTCCAGCTCCTGGTATGATGACGTAACTCTTTATGTTGAAGTTAAAGGTAATAACCATCATATATATATATATATATGTTACATATCAAACATGGAATTCTAATTATTTTGTATTTGATCTTCTGTAAATCCACATCTGGTTTGTATTTCAGGAAAGGGTTTTCATGCTTGGAAGATTGCAATCATCTGCATTTCTGTTTTTTCCATCATATTAATTTCAGTCACAGCTTTCATCTTACAAGGTAATTTTTTATTAATCATTTCCGTTGATGACTCTTAAATATTTTAAAGAACATTGCATATATATTTTTCTTATTTGGATCAATGTGTGCATGTACAGTAAAGATAATATGAATTTATAATTTCATGACTTCTACAAAACTTTACTGTATCTCTCAGTGCGATCATATTCTAATCACTGCCACTCAAAATATTAAACACCATTATCACTTTTCATTGTCAGAGACCACCTATCAGTTATTTTCAGTCAAAGTGGCCGATAAGTTATTCCTTTTTTACCAGGAAAAAAAATATATAGCAATAGCAATTAGTTGTCTTCTCACAGTGGAAGGATGAACAGAAACACCTATAGATTTTTTTCAGATCCAAAGCAAGAGTGAAGCTTGATTTTCTCCTCTCTTTCAAAGATGAAAGCTTTATTTTATGGTGACAGTTTTGGTGATCTACCAGGTCTCACATGGTTGACTTTCCCTTTTCTTATGCAAGTGGATTATCTTATATCTAATCTCCTCAGAAAAATGTCCTTGTAGTCAATGGCTATTTTGAATGGAAATAAAGTAAATGAAGGGTGGTCTCCGACCTTTGCACTGTACTGTATGAAAGTTAATGAAGTAGGACTTTCATTAAAACAGGTTAACTTTACATATTGCTTCACTTCTTCTCATTAGTTGCTTGTTAGAATCTAAAAAACAATGCAATAGGCATTCTGTTGAAATAAAGCTACGACATAAAATCACAGTAATTTTACATGCCTAGAAATGTTCTGTTTAAGATATTTTAGTAAATATCTTAAACATATCATAACTAAAGGCTATTTGTACCTAAGTAGGTGCCAATACCACTATCATTTATTGTCACTACAGACACAGTAACATTCCAAAGCACATAATATTCATGAAATTCTAATGCAAATAAACTCTTTCATAGAAGTAACCCACTGCCACCATTTACTTTAAAGGTTAATTCCACAGAGTGGTTCATTGCAGAGAAACTTACCATCTAAAATTTCTTTACAATGGTGGTGATAGGAAACAGTGGTTGCAATGTCTACAACACAAATATAGCCATTTTATTCACTATCCAAAACACCCAGTGAAATTTTATGAATTTTTATTTGTGATGCTGATGGTGGGAAAATAGTGGTAAATCTGAAATAAATCGCTGTTGTTGGAAGAAAACCTTGTATCTCCAAAATGGTAACTTTACAGTAGAAGGAAAAAACCTACTTTACTTTTCATATAAGTCAATGGAACCAGGCTTTTTTCCAAGTCATTTTGGTCTGTTTTTTTTTTTGGTCCATTTTTCATGAAATTTACATACAATGTAAAGAGCAACAGGTACTTTCAAATTATGTCGAAAACTGAGAACGCCTTTGATTATTTCTTTAATTCTAGATAAATTCTCAGAAAAGAAGCTTTCTCCTGCACAGTGTTCAGCCATAGCCTACATGCGGCTCAAGTCAGAGTATGTGCGGAAAGAGTTGGATTTGAAGAAATACAACACATCAGAGGAAGGTTACAAGAGACTGATCCCAGCTATAACAAACTGCAGAAAAGCTCAGTGAGTACTTAAAGATGAAGAACCTCATATTGATCCTGTTAAATGAAAGAATGACACAGTACATATGCATATTACGTACACTTTAAAGACTTTCAGATTTGCATCCTTAAAGGAATGATTTTGCGAAAAAATTGACATAATTTTCCACCTACCCTGGATGTAGTAATCAGCCAAGATATGTTTGGTGTTAGTTTGGCTTCTTTAGTTTAGAAATGGGGCTATGAGGCTAATATCATAGTCACCCAATAGTCACCCAAATCTTTTCTGTAAAAACATCAACAAAACGTCACTCAGCCCACTTAGATCACATCCAGGTCTTAGTTAAGGTCACGCAGACTTGTTGATGTGGTTGAGGTCACAGTATGGCTTACTGTGACTGATAAAATGAACAAGATTTCGCAGTATAGCTAAATGCCGTGGGCAGCCATTTATAGACAACAGATGTGGTATTGATTTCTGACTGCCCCTTAAGGAAGATATTGGACATAGTTTAAGCAAGTTGAGAGAGATTTTAGGGATGCATTTACAGAAAAGATCTGGATGACTATTGACTTCTGATGTTAGCAATTTAAGCCTTGTAGCTAAACTAAAGAAGTTAAATTTGGATATAAAGCATGTCTTGCCTGATCACCCACATCTGGTGGAAAATTGTGTATATTTTATTTTGCACCAAACCATTCCATTAAGCAAGAGCAGGGAATTTATCGCCATACACTTTGCTGAATGGCCTTCCCACACTGTGTTTCAGTGGCATGTTGCATTCAAAAAGAACAGTAATCAGACAGGGAAAAGAAAGGCTTTGAGCCAGGAAATCTTTTTGGTTTGTAGAAGGGGCACGTCCAACAGATATTTTCTCTATTGGAACCAAAATCAGAACTCTGCACCTTAAACTCTCAAAATCCCAGGCTTATAATATACTAAGGCTTATTTTTCAGTAACTACAGGGACTTCAATGCAAACCAACGCAGCTATTTTAGTGTAGTAAAACTTTGGACCTGCCGGTGGGCTCTGGCCATTTAAGTGGTTGAGAAAATGAATACAAGGTTAAATGCTAAGTCACATTAACAATAGTGCAGTTTTTTGGCTGTTCTTCATGGCTGAATTTGAAATTTATTTCTGTACATCCCACTTTTCACAAAACAAATTACAAAGAATGTTCTGGAGAAAAGTGGGTGCATCTAAAAAAAGTTGGCAACAGGAATTCCATTACAGTGTTAGTGATTGGAACCAGGAGTCACAGCCTGTTCAACACAAGGATAACCGTTTTGCTGGCTACTAGGGACCCATGGAGGATTATGCGAAATGGAATAGTAGCAAAAGCAACTGAAAAGTATTGATGGTGTGCTAACAGAGATTTGTCTTTCTGATACAATGTCTCCTCCCTTCTGGGGAGACAGCATTTGGACCTGCCCCGTTCTGCGTTGGCTCACTCCAGCTTCAGCTCCACCCTTGCTTCCCCTTCTGGAGACTCAGCACATAGACTCACCCATTTGGCATTAGCTCTTCTCAGCTTCAGCTCCACCCTGGCTCCACCCCCTCATACTACAAATAACTGTGTCTCATTATTAGGACTCAATAACTTTCCTACCTGTGTTTTTGGTTTCAGAATTTAAATAAAATTTATAAAGGACCACTGATATTGGATTGGTACTCAGTATCCGCCAAAACCCAGGGTTCAGGTATCGGAATCAGTATTGGAAGAGAAAAACCGGGATCAGTGCATCTCTAATGTGAACTGAGCTCTTATACTTGGATGGAAGTGTAAACCATTCTTAAAACCTTTATGAAAACTGTCTGGTGTGATAAACAGCAAATACTATACTCTCGTCCATCCGCTCCTTTGATTCTAACACTAATTCATTTTGGCTCCATGTTTATATGATTTAATGAAATCTTGCTCCTTTCATTCTGTAGATTTTTTAGTCATGCTAGTAAGTTTACAGCCTCTTCTGCTGTTTCATGGTCTGTCAATGCCTCAGCTGTTGAGTAGGCTGGATTATCAACAAATTATTTTTTCTTGCTGATATGTTACATTCTAAAATTTAAAGCATTCTGTCGCATAGTTAGACAGATAAAACTAAATGAATTCAAACAGTATGCCTATTTCATGTACATGGATTTTTAGTAATTGTAATATCCATTATATAATAATTTTTTATTTGAATAAAAATAAGTTTTCTGTTGTATTTATAGTCAGTATAGTCAGTCAACATTTCAACTCATTTTTGTCATTCTGTAAGCAGTTAATCTCAGCATTCAAGATTTGATTTAGGACCTACTGAGACACTTAAAGAAAAGTTATAACTGAAAAAATATTTTGATCACAAATTTGCATGTTTGATTTTTTAAAATTAATCGTATCCTTTTTCTCATTTGGGAATGTTATAGGATGTTAATTATTTTACTCACTTTCCCGTTCTCCACTGCTTGCAGATTAGCTGGGTGTAATCTCTCTGGACTGTCAATTGAAACTTTGAGTGCAACTCTACAATCAGCAAACTTATCTCTGAAGAACCTGGACCTCAGTAACACCAACTTGCAAGAATCAGTGGTGCAGCTCTCTGCTGGACTGAAGAGTTCACACTGTAAAGTGGAAATACTCAAGTCAGTACTACTAATAATATGTTAGGTAACACTTCATATGAATCCTGTATTCATAATACATTATAAATGAATTTCTAAAGCATTATATGGTAGTATATTCTAGTACTGTGAAGTAAATAAAACTTTATAATGACCGGCATAAGCTTGTATAATTGCTTATAAGCTGTAATTACATGCATAACAGCTTAGAAAATAAGACTTGGAACATTATAATGTCAGATTTCACCAAGCACTGTAATATCTGTTCATAAGAACACTGTAAACATCAATGTTGTAAGGCACTATAACACACCATAAAAAGCTTCTGATATATTTCTGCATCATAACACATGCAGGCATATTTCCATGTAGACATTTGTTTCGTATAGAGCTGAACAGTGAGCATCACTTTTTAGCAGCTATGGTTCTGGAAGTAAAAATCCCATTAATTTTCTCTCTAGACAAATTTGAAAAATCCTTATATAAAGAGTTTTAGGCACCAATCAAACTAACTAGCTACGAGATAAATCATGACATTATAAATAATTATTTATAGCAAAAAATGGACAAAAAGGCAAGACAGGTACAAGACTGTTTTTCATCTCTGAATGAATAACTTTTCCCCCAGCTCTCAGCCAACTTCTGCAATTGCAAATTTTCTCTACTGATTTTCTGTATGTATTTGTGTTATTATTGTTTATATTATACTTTTTTCTACATAGAGTTTGTTTTTTCTTTCTGGTTTCTTGATTCATTTTTTACGCTTTGTTTCTAGGAAGTTGCTTAGCAGTCATAGTGAAACTTCTTAAAAAATATACACATGAATTGGGATGGTCATGTGATCTGCATGCTTGTTTATATTATGCAGCAGCATGTCATGATGAGTTCATCTGTGTGTAGTTCATGATAGCTGCCTTTAAGCTAACAAATATTTGATTGCAAAAACCCACCACAATTCCTGTCCTGTCTTTTACACTTGCCCTGACAGAACTGACAACAGAGAGCTGCTTTATGTTAGCCAGTGGATAATGAGACTAAATGACAGCTGTCCTTGTTTAGGAATGCTGCTAACAGTAGCAATAGCTTTAAATTAGCTTTGCAAATTCAAGCCTTAAACATTTTTTGCATTGGTGAATGAAGCAGAGCACTATATCCATATCTGATGCTCAGTGGCAGACCCCTCAATGGCATGAACTGCAGCGTGAGCCTCCCACACCTCACATTGTGCACACAATTATCTCACTTCACTTAAAGGCTGTAAAGAGCACCATTAAGGTATTATATACTGAAATTAAATTTCCTTAAGTGTTTCAAAAACTCACTTCAAAAAATAAACCTGTAATACAAAGTGTTACATGTACTTATACTTATAACTGTCTACAATGTTCTTATGAACAGATGTTGTAATGCATTATGGAACCTGACTTTATAAAGTCACATACGTTTGCTTTTTTAAGTGTTATGCATGTAACTATTCACAAGTAATTATACAAGTCATGCCCAGTGCTATAAGGCATTTTGTGTGTCATGTTACACCTTATTAATGCATTGATAATGTTACCATAAAGAGAACACTTTACTTGAACCCTGATACATAACATTAAAATAACCATGCCATAAGCAGGTCATAGCAGATGCTGTCATAAGTTGTGACTGATTATGTCCAGTGATAAAACAGTGGCATGTTACCATTACTGTTAATTATCATGGCTAACTTCTAAACACTATGTTCAGCAAAAACTAGCATGAGACATAAGCTGACATCAAACATTATGAAATCTGTCATGAAAATTAATGGTGATGGTAACATACTGTTATATTACAGAGCAAAATCTCTCCTGACAACTCATGACTACATATGACATCTGCTATGACATATTTATGGCATAGGTATGTCAATGGTATTTTCAAGTAAAGTGTTACTGAAATATGCAATAATATAGTATATTTGTACATTTGTTCAATTGTAATATATTCTGTAGAGTACATTCTAAGATACATTGCACTTTGTCTTCGCAGACTTGCTAAGTGTAAACTTGGCAAACAGTCTTGTGACATCCTGCTGTCAGTTTTACAAACAGAAAACTCTTCCTTAAAAGAACTGGATCTCAATAGCAATGACCTGCATGATTTAGGAGTGGATTCATTCTCTGATGGACTGAAAAGTTCAAATTGTAAGCTGGAGATACTCAGGTGAGCTTTCTGTAAATTTATTTTTAAGATGACTGAGCTGCCTTTAATTTGCAACTTATTTTGCATGCTTTTAGTCTCTAAAGAGTTACTATGTCTTTCACTAACAGAAAATCATACCAACACGACTAAATATTTCACACCCACGAGCAAAATGTCAAAGGAAATACCATAAATATTATATGTTTCCAGCAGATTCTTTAAAAAAACAGTATAAGCAGTATAATAGTATAAGCTTATACTATGTCTGAAAATGTTTTATTTCTATCTATATGAAGTATTAAATTTAGGCACATCTGACCCAGATTGGATATCAGCTAAAATATACCTCATCCAGTTCTGATCCCTTGTTTCTTGTTTTTTGCACTCTGTTTACTCCACTGTCATTTAACTGAGATAAACGAACATTATCCACTAGTACTTGAGTCCAATCTCAGAACCATAAATGAGTGGTCTCGGTCTCATCTCAGTCTCAGTCTCTTTGGGACTTGGACTAGTCTCAGAAGTGGGGTAAGGTGGACTGAGAAATTACTGTCAAGACCAGTTGATTGTGATACCTCCTGAAGCTAAATTATTATTAAATGTCAATAAAACCAGAATAAACAGAACAAAACAGACATTTCTCTGTATCAGGGATTCCCAACTTTTGCAAATCGCTGCTCACACAAATGACCACAAGAGCCTCCATGGATTTAACTGATTAGATCAGTGACATTGTACTGTGCAAATTCAAAGAAAAACCTTAATTTTTTCATTTCCAGAGAAAATGGCCATTATATACAATTTTAATTATAAATGTATCAATTTTTGTTATTAATGTATCAACAACATTAAATGTATTTGAGATTGCTTGGATTGTGAGAAGCAAGTGTGGAAGAATATCCCTGCAGATTGCTTTGAAAAACTGAATGCAAGTCTCCTGAAAAGAATGGAGGTTGTAATACAGGCAAAGGGTGGACACACAAAATAGTAAAGAAAATGATATTTAGTTGTTGAGGCTTCTGCTTAGTTTTCAATATATATGTTGTTAACACTTTATTTGGATGGTCCACTGAAGATGGTTTGTAGATGCTCAGTGCATCTTTAAGTAGCATTCAATTACAGATCTATTAAAATAAACTGAACTTGAAGATGAGTGTGAAAGATTCCATTAAATCTATCCCTAACCCTAACACTAACCTCAAGGCAAAACCTATGCCTACTCCCAAACCTAACCCTAACCAAAATGTTGTTGATATTCAAGTATCACCAGAAAGTTTGTTAATGATTTAAGTATCTACCTATTGTGTTTGATGCCAAATATGTGCAAAGTGATATTTTTGTAATGTGAATTTAAGCATGGATTTGAAATAATCACATTTACAGGACATTGTCAAGATACATTTAAATACTGATTGATCCAGATTTTTTCAGGCCTTGTGAAAAAGGCCTCATTATTATTATTGCTTTAGTTTTATTATTATTTTCAAAACAGTTTGAGGGTTGGAAAGCTAAATGTTCATTACCTAAAAGTTAAATAAAACAGTGTGATGTAGCAAACATAAATACATAAATAAATCAAATAAAAACTATGGTTAATGCAGACAGCTAGTGTACCAGTCTGTATGACTTCATGTCCTCTGACTGATTTATACTCTCTACTGTATTTATTTCACCTTTGCAGGTTAGGCTGCTGTAATCTCACTTTAGAGTCTTGCAAATCTCTCGCATCAGCTCTACAAATAGAAACTTCCTCTCTGAAATGTCTGGATCTCAGTAACAATGACCTGCAGGATTCAGGAGTGGAGCAACTTTCTGTGGGACTGAAAAGCTCGCACTGTAAACTGGAAATACTCAGGTGAGCTTTCTGTGGAATTGTTCTGGAATGAATGTTAAAGGAGCACTGATAGCTAATTCAGAACTAATTCAGTCATTGACATGAGTCATTCAAAGTAGAAGGGAATTGATGCTCTGTACATGTTACCCTGGTGGATGTTAGTAGTCCCCAAAATATTTTTTTGCAGATTTATGACCATTATGAACATTACATATAACTCAGAAGGTTCACTAGTCATTTTGGAAAGTAAATAAATGGTTGTAATGCTTTACTGTAGGCTACATGATAAGACTTCAATGGCAAAAAAAATTAAACAGTTTTCTCTTATATTCAACCAGTATGACATTAACCAATGATACATTTTAATGGAATTGTATTATAATTTGCTCATCAAAGTATATTTGTATGATTCCACATACTCTGGTTGAAGTGTACTCTGTACTGTATTTATTTCCACCTTTGCAGATTAGCCATCTGTGGACTCACTGTGGAATCTTGTAAATCCCTTGCATCAGCTCTGCAAACAGAAAATTCCTCCCTGAAAGATCTAGACGTCAGTAACAATAACTTGCAGGATTCAGGAGTAGAGCAACTCTCTGCTGGACTGAAGAGTTCGCACTGTAAACTGGAGATACTTAGGTGAGCTTTCTATGAATTTCCTCACTGTATTAGACACTGTAAGGTGCTTTAACAAGGCCAGTATTTTTAAAATGCAAGACAAGAAGTTTCTTGTAAAAAACTGCTACATTTATCAGATGAACACATTGTGAGTTAGAGTAGGTAGACAGATTGTGGTGTTGATGATAAATGTTCTATCCCCCCAAAGCTCATGAAAATTCCTCAACTTTTAGTAAATTTAATGTTATGTTGTCGATCATTTGCATAATTTCAATTTGTATTAAAAATATTTGTATTGAAACTTGAAGCACAAGTGTACAATAAATGGAAAAAAGATGTTATAAAAATCCACCTGAGGAATTTATAAGGTTGCTTAACAAAACATTGTCTTTTTACTATTATTGAAACAAATAAGATCAATTTTATAATTCAGCCTCATTGAAGTGCATCAGTCATGTTATACATAATTCCACATCCTCTGATCTGTGCTCTCTACTGTATTTATTCCACCTTTACAGTTTAGCCATCTGTAATCTCACTATGGAGTCTTGCAAATTTCTCACATCAGCTGTACAAACAGAAAACACCTCCCTGAAAGAACTGGACCTCAGTTACAATGAGCTGCAAGATTCAGGAGTAAACCTACTTGCTTCTGGACTGAAAAGTTCAAACTGCAAACTGAAGATGCTCAGGTAAGCTTTCTATGAATTAGTTCTGGAAAGAATGTTGTGAAGGTGTTGTGAGGCAATTTTACAAAGGCCAATATTTCAATTTCATTTTTTAATATTTAAAGACAATAAAATGTATTTTAACTTTATATGGTATACAAAGGTGAGCCAAGAATTAATTTATTTACAGCACAATAAAAAGGGCGATTTTCTGAAATATCAACATAGTGGTAACAGAGAGTTACATTTATTCTGAGGACTTGCCAATAATGTTGCATCCTAAAAAAAAACTGTGGTGTCAATCTAGAACAGTAAAGGGTTGTAAACCTTTCCCACATTTTCCTTTCAATGAATCTGATCAACAAATCTCTCATGGATCTTCAAATTCTCCAGTTTAGCACAGTGAAAAATTTATCTGATCATCTTGAGAATGAGAAGGAGAGGCAGATGAGTTCCACCTGAACAGATCCAGGCACTTGGCTGAAAGAGTAGTAAATGCTAAGTCTCCTTTGCTTTTGGTAATAAGTAAATGGGATTGCAAATTCCAAAAAGAGCCTTGACTGCAGCCAGTTTGAGAAGTATCATATTACTTTCTAAGTTGAAGACGCATCCGCCCTCAATGAAATCTTCATACCACCTGAGTTTTGGACATAATGTTTGTGAAAATTTTAATTTACCTGAGCCATTACAAAGAGCTAGATTATTTTACTTAATGAAATGAATTGAAAAATAAATAAATAAATATTCTAGGAAACTCATGACACAGTACTGCCCACACTTCATGCAGGCTGTAAAAATGCATCAGGTTTTAAAATCACTTCAAGGGTGTCTTTTCCAGCCAGCTTAGTCTGCAAAAAAGGCCTCAATCTCTTGGTCATTAAAGAAGTTGCAGTGCTTTAGAATGCATCAAAGTATCAATCTTCTGTGAATTTCCAAAACTGGGGTTGAATTCAAATTTCTCTGTTTATCAATCAACAACCAAGTGGAAGTGGAGGAATATGGAACAGGCATCTAGGGATGAGGGGTAATTGCCAAACAGAACCCAACTTTTGTTATGATTTATATGTCATAACAAAAGGAGTATATATCACTATATGACTATAAAGAGAGAGGGAGAAGAGGAGGAAAAATCTATCCATCTGTGATCCTTGGAGAAATAAAGAAAAACATGCCCTCTTCACTACATTTCCCATTGTTTTAAAACATTTATTTATTGCCCTAACACTGGTTATGGAAACAGGAAGAGTCGACGAACTCCTGGACTTGAATTAGAAATGAGGAAATGCTTCAGCTATATTTTTCATTAGAATTTCTAGGGGTGCTAATAATTGTGACTCTTGATTTAGTTAAAAATGTTTTTGATGAGCGTTTTTGTATTTTTTTATTTCAACTAAAGATTTCTCTCAGATTTTATTTAGATTAAGCTCAATAACCATACATTTTAATGACCTTTTCATTAATAATGCCAGTAATTTTGGAGCTGACTGTACATGTCATCTGACATAACAAGTTTAATGTAAGATCTGTTGCGTTCTCTCTTCCTTTGCAGACTAGCTTTGTGTCATCTTGAAGAAAAATCTTGCAAATATCTGGGATCAGCATTAAAACTGGCAAACTCTTCCCTGAAAGATTTGGATCTCAGCAGCAATGACTTGCAGGATTCAGGAGTTGAACTGCTCTCTGATGGACTAAAGAGTTCAAATTGCAAACTCGAGATACTCAGGTGAACTTTCTATATATTTCTGAGTGATTAATGCTAAGATGCAATGCTTTAATGTTTTACCAAGATGAAATGACTGTTGCTTTTGTTAATATTCAATAATAATTCAGCTTCCAGAGACTGCTAGTTTATGGTCTCAAGACCAAGATTGGACTTGAGCCCTACAACACCAGATTTTTCCACCTGTGTGTAGTTTGTTTCCCCACTTTCCTTATGTTGTCTAGTCTTATCTTGGACAAAGACCACATTGAGTCTTTGTCCTTTTTGTCCGGTCACATGTTGTGCTTTCGCACAAAATACCTTTCCTTGAGTGGATTTTGTTTATGGATAGCAATCAGTGGCTCATGAGCTTGTTCTTTTATTGAGTCACACCCACATGAATAAGGTCATGGTTCAAGTAAATTCAATGTTTATATGATAGTTTCATGAATCAGATACAGAGTAGTGTGTGCATAATCCCAGTGCCTGAATCTCTGCTCATTTCTGTGATGATGCTTGATTTGACTCCTGGCCATAAATGGTTTTGGCATTACCAGGGTTTGAACTTGCAGTCTTCTGACAATATGGTAAAGCTTTTGCACACTTGGGAGCCCCTGACATATGGTTTTAAATCCAAACTATGCATGTCTTTTCTTTTCCCTGAGATGTACCATTCTGATCAAAGAATCAGTTTTCTGTAAATGTCATATCTCTCACTTATTTTTCTTTTCTGTCTGTAGATTGTCTGGTTGTTTGATCACAGAGAAAGGCTGTTCTTCTCTGGCTTCAGCTCTGAGTTCAAACCCCTCACACCTGAAAGAACTGGATCTGACATACAACCACCCAGGAGACTCAGGGAAGAAGGTGCTCTCTGCTAGACTGAAGGATCCATGCTGCAGACTGGAGACACTCAGGTACATAAAACTGTGTTGATCTGTGTGTTTCTGTACTGAAGTCAGAATTACTGAAGACCATGGTTACATACTCATTCTAAACTTGTGACAAGGCTTATCAGTAGTTTGATCCTAGAATGTGTAGGCTGTACTGTGCAGTAACAGTTCCCTATACTATGCAACTACAATAGTATAGCAATTGCTTGCAGGGTTTTTATATAGGGTGTGTGGAAGGTTAAATGTCATTACTAGAAGCAAGCACAGAACATGGTGTAATGTATTCCCCTGTCTTAGCCTCTGTCTGTGTCAGCCCTTGTTTTCCATCCTTAGTCCTGTTCTCCAGCCATATGCTCCTTTTTGTGTTTGTGCACCTCCTGTACTATGCCCCGCACTTGTGTTGTATGTATGTGATCCCTTGCTTTAGCTAGTGCAAATAGGCTAAAGTGCAATGATACCTATGAGCAAAGATACATGGTTACTTAAATGAATATAAGTTGGGGAGTTGGGGAGAGTATTTTAATGAATATATTAAAATATAAATATGTGTGTGTGTTTTTCTCTCTTCTTTAGGTTGGACCATGTTGGGAAGATCAGAATCAAACCAGGAATGAGAAAATGTAAGTTTGTGTAGGCCTGTCTCTGGTGACTATTAAGCAAGTTGCCATGGTAACAGCCCTCAATAACTGCTAAAAAAGTAAAAAAGTTTAAAAGCCACTTCATTTATTTACTGATTTATTAGACTCTAGAAGTTTAACAAGCACTAGAGGGAAGACACTAGAGTTCCCACACATGACCATAACTGAACTTTTAAATATGTTGGGTGATGTGATATCCTACGTTTAATACAATACTTATTATACCTGATATAGATGTAATTGTTTTAGAAACATGGCTGTTGAGTTGAACATGCTCAGTGTTGCAGGCAGATATATCTCGTATCTGTACAAAAACCCACCTGTTAGGTATGGCGTATATTTCAGTATATCCTCAAACCACAACAACAGGTTTCAAACATCAAACAAAACAGCTTCAGGTCTTGGATCTCATACATTAGGTGAAATCGGCTGTTTCAAATGGTCTCAGGTGATGTGACCTCAGAGAAGAAGGCAATAGGCTAAACCTCAAATGGTAAAGGTCATATGACATTCTAGATTAATTACGTTTTGTGGCCTTATTAAAGAATTTTTTTTTCATATGTTATTGTATTGGTGGCAAATGAAACCAGATGCTCGCAGCAGAGGCTTGAATCCAAAGCTTTAATATCAAAGGGGCAATCCAAACTCACAGTCAGTAAACACAAGCAGAAGGTCGATATCCAGAGAATTAGAACAGTACCAAAGGGCAAGAATCGTGGTCTTAAACAGAAAATGGGTCATACACAGAGTAACAAATGAAACATAATGGAAACGCCCGGTATGCACATGAGTGACGATACTTCACAAAGAACTAAAGCTAAGGCTTAGGCTTATATACTAAACTAACAGACATTTGTAACAAGCAACAGGTGTTGGTGGTTGCCAACCACGCTATAGCAATGTAACTGGGACATAATGCTTTCAAGCTGGTCTCCCAACCTCTAATCACATTGCCAAAAATGATTGTGTTTTAAAATAAATAAATAAATAACCCATCTCTCTTCTTGTGTGCAGATGTCTGTGAGCTCACACTGGACCCAAACACAGCACACACACACCTCTCTCTGTCTGAGGGTAACAGAAGGGTGACATGGGTGAAAGAGCAGCAGGAGTATCCTGATCATCCAGAGAGATTTGATGTCTGGAGTCAGGTGCTGTGTAGAGAGAGTCTGACTGGACGCTGTTACTGGGAGGCTGAGTGGAGTGAGAAAGCTATTATAGCAGTGGCATATAAAACAATCAGCAGGAAAGGAGGCCATTATGACTGTGGCTTTGGAGGCAATGAAAAGTCCTGGCGTCTGCACTGCTCTAGTAACAGTTACTCTGTCTGTCACAATAAGAATGGAGCTTCAATACATGCCCCACCATCCTGCACCAACAGAGTGGGAGTGTATTTGGACTGTCCAGCCAGCATTCTGTCCTTCTACAGCATCTCCTCTGATACACAAACACTGACCCACTTACACACATTCCACCCCACGTTCACTGAGCCTGTCTATGCAGGGTTTAGGCTTTATCCTGACTCCTCGGTGTGCTTGCCTGTGTGTGAGACAGAAGAGCCTACTGAGTCCTGGAGGAAAAGCTGAGTCTTCGGGGAAATACAAACAACTTCGTCGTCTGCTCCTAATGACTCTCTGGACTCCCATAATTCCCCAGACCAACACATCATAGACACATGCCCTCCATTACCCAAACACGGACAGCTTCATAGAAGCAATGAATATTGATTTCATTCATCTGTGTTTTACTGTCTAGTTTTGTATAAATACCCATTTGTTTGTCAAGCTTGTTGCTAAGTATTGCCATCATCACTGTGTGCATACCGAGCATTTTCTTGTTTTTTTGTTTTTTTTTGCCTTTTTTGTTCTTTTTTTTGCCCTGTTTTGTTAGTGTTTATTGGTTTTCTCTTCTTGCCTTGCACTTCTGATTTGATTGCCTGATTATCTGTTTTTTGGTTTTTGACCTTAGCGTGTATCTCGACTACATTTTGAACTCATCTATGTATCTGCTTTTTCTACTTGTGGTTTTGACCTGGCCTGACTTTGGTTATTTGACTTCAAACTGCCCTTTCAACATTAAAGCCCTTTCTCTAGGTTATAACAGTGAGGTTTGTCACAGCCACATTACAAATCATTTAAAATCTATTTGATATATCTAATATTTCTCATTCTGAGTTTGCTGTTGGAATATTCTAAGTTCATTTCACTTATTTCTGGACATTTTACCTTGTGTTAGGTCACTATAAGCTTATTATGATTATTACAAAGGAATTAACCAATGATTGGTTATGATTCAGGAATCAACTGTTTTTGCAAAATTACCAGAGCCCTACTTTCCCTGCCTCAAAATATGATAAGATTCAAAACTATAACACTAATTTAACCCAAACTCTAGTAGCACAGGTGAGGTTTCCTTTGAATGACTTTTCTCTGTGTATGATCTTTGTGATTCCTAATGACAATTCTGTCTAACCAGTCCTAACAAGACAATCAAGTTCTGTACTCTTTTCTTTACAGTGGTGGTGATAGGAACCATGGGAAATGACGTCTACAACACAAATATAGCTATATTATCTACTATCCATAACCACCAGTGAACCTACACGTTTCTTCTGTGTTTTACATGTAATGTTGATGACAGCACAATAATTGATGATGGTGGTAAATTGGAAAAAAAAAATATTTGGGGACTATTTTGCTTTACAGCACCCTGCATGTGCCCCTCCACCATGAATGGATTAAAAGATTTTAGGCCAAACCCTCTCTCTAAATTATCATAACATCATGTATTAGACATCAGGCACCGTATTCCTAAACATTTCATGTAATAACTTTGTATGGAGGAGATTTTAGAGGCATTTAGACATCTGGTTCCTATTACCACTATCTTAACCTCTCAACAAACACATTCAGAATTCTTGAAAAATTGGTGGAATTTCCCTTAAGACCCTCAATTTAAAAAGAATAATTCACATCTACAGCCAGCAGGGGGCACTCTAGCTTTTAGAAATGCATTCATGATCCACTGTATGAGCTCCACCTGCCTTATAGCTCCACTGCATGTGTGTACAGTTAAATACTGTAGCCAATCAGTTGATGAACAGTTTATCAGCCCCCTTCTACCTCATTCATTTTTTGACCACAGGACTGCTGTTAACCACACTGTCTGTACACCAGCGAGGTGGACTTTTGGCTGTTTAATAAAATGGACAGTATGACTACATTTTAAATTCTGTAGACACTTTCAGTGAGATTGATCAAATAAAAAGACACATATAAAGACTTGTCTCAGTTTGATGCCAATGCCAACACCAGCCTTTATGTCCAAACACTCATAATAAGAAGTCTGTAATCAAAATTTACTATGTCAGAACCAGCAATATTTAAAATATTTAAATATTTTAAATAATGATTTTTGTATTCGGAAATAATTAATATAGCTATGTATTATTAATTATTAATTAATTATTGATATCACGTTTTACCAAACAGGTTGCATGAATTTTGGTGTGTAATATTTTTTTCAGAGTAGTTTTTTATTAGTAATAGTCTGTAGTAGCTTTTCTCAATAAACTATTTCGATATGCATGTGAATTCCCTGATATACACGTCTTTTTACTATATATATATATATATATATATATATATATATACATATATATATAACAAATGAATCAACATGTCCAAGAATAATATAAACTGAACGTGACCCCGATATGTATATGGATGATAAGAGTCTGCGCATTACGTCACGTCCTCCCGCTGCCGCCTGACCACGCCCACCGCGTTTCCTGCAGATCTCGGCCGCTGTCCGCGGTGCTAAAGCGCAGTTCATCATCTTCCTCCACTCTCTGTTACCTCACCATACTAAACTACTGTCATCTCAGCTTTTACGTCCGCACGTGAACGTTCGGCTGTAGACAAGCCTCCGTGCAGCTCCACCACACTCGCAGAACTAATGACAGAAATGAAACGATGTTCGTAGATAACAATCCTCCGTCCAGATGGGGCGTCGAGTATTACTAACGCTTCTGATTCTGCTCTTCACTTCAGTGCAGTGCTCTCGTGGGCGTTGGGTGGGCTTTCCTGTGTCAGAATGCTGTCATTAGAACTGATGGGGCTCTGTACTCTAACTGGGCCTTGGATCGTCTCTTAACAGCGTCAGGTATGATGCATATTCATTCGAGCTTCTCCTGTGACAGTCAGTAGGATTGAGAATCTGAATTTAACGTATTAGTAGTGATTCCAGTAATGATTTATAGGCATTGCCACGTAGAAGCAGTGGTTATTAATTGGTAATAGGACTGAATTATCATAACTGATTACAGACTATGAATCTGCTTAAAACCCAGTTATCTTAACTTGGCACTTTTCATTAAAGGGTTTATAATGATGTACATTTCAGTTTTCTCTCTCTTGTTTCCTGTTAGTGTCTCTCTCTCTCTTGTTCTTTCTCAGTTCTCTAAATCTAATCTGATAACTACAAAATAAGATAGATAGACAGACAGACAGACAGACAGACATTCAGACAGATAGATAGATAGGTACATAGATAGATAGACAGACAGACATAGATAGATAGATGGATAGATAGATAGATAAATAGACAGACAGACAGACAGACAGATAAGTAGACAGATAGATACATACATAGATAGATAGATAGATAGACAGACAGACAGATAGATATATAGACATACAAAAAGAAATAGTAAAAGACAAAAAATAGACTTACAGACTGACAGACAGACAGATAGATAGATAGATAAAGGAGATAGATAGATAGATAGATAGATAGACACGGATTGATAGACAGATGAATATAGGCCTATAGATAGATAGATAGATAGATAGATAGACTACACGTCCAAAGGCATCACACTTCTAATTAGTGAATTAGCTTCGTTGCTGACACAGGTGTTCAATTGTGCACACACAGCTTGTGTAATCTCAAAGGAAAAGCAGTGATAATAGAATGGGACACTCTGGAGCAGCTAAGGTCACCATGCCCAATGCCAAGCATGGGCTAGACTATAAGTACAAAGCCCCCGGCACTGAGCTGTGGAGCTCTGTGATCTCTAGAGTGACAGAGCCCCATCCACTTGGAACAAACTATCCAACATGATAGTTGACAAGCTGACCTCACTAATGCTGTTGTGGCTGCAACCAAATCCTCACACCAACATCTAGTGTAAAGCTTTCCCAGAAGAGAAGAGGTTGTTAGAGGCAGTTAGCAAGTACAACAAACTTCCTCTTAAATTCAGGAGAAACACTGGATGTCTACAGACTTTGGGACATAAAGTGTAGATAGATGTACTTTGTTGATCCCCAAGGGAAAGTCTGCAGGAGAACACTACACATTCTATAATTACACACATATGTCTCTCTGCTAAGGGTTGCCGTGGTAATGGATGGACAGAAGGAAGAGCAGAGGCCCCTCGGCAGTACGCCCACGTGTAACGGTGTTTCTGAGCGGCGCTCATTGGTGTTGGTGTCTGAAGCCCATGGGCAGCAGATACTGAGCGTGCTCCGTGGTTTCCGGGACAGAGGCGTGCTCTTCGACTTCAGCATCCACGTCCAGAGTGAGACGTTTCTGTGCCATCGCTGTGTCCTCGCCGCCTGCAGTGACTTCTTCAGGTCAGATATGCTTTGCTGTTTTGACTGCAGAATGAATATAAACCACCAAATGTTTGACTTGCTCTTTTTTCATGTTGTTTTGCCATCATATTTGGGATTTTAGCCTGATAAAAACACTTTTACACCCTCAAGGTCCATCTGAATGCCTTTTCTGAAGAGTTCTGCCACGATAAAGACCGCTGTGTTCCTGCTATTGGTGCATAATGCTCCCATGCTAATTTGTCCGCATTTTACAGTCTCAGACTCTGTCTACGCCTGGTCGGTTTGATCACTCAAACCTCTTCAGGAGCTGGTCTGAGATGCACTATAAATAGTAAATAGTCTCTCTGAGCCACAATTGACAAACAAAACCCCTCCCAATACTGTTGCGACTGCTGTTCTGCATAGGGGGAAGTGACCACTCCCAGGGACAGTCTGGACAGTCTACTTCACCGGCCTTCGAATTAAGCTATTTAGCTTAAATAAAGTGTCAGTTAGTTAATCTTTGGTTCGCCTTTTCATCACTAACTTGGTACAATACATTACCTTTTAATGGACTTGGTCCTTAGCAGTGATGACTAATACACAAGATCTCTTAAACATCACATTGACTGCCTGCTTTTGTAAACAAGCAAAACACAATGTAAAATATAGATTTAAATATAGATGTAAATATAGGCAACACCCATGTTTGTGGTAGAACAGGAAAAACAAGGAAGGAGGTTGTGAGTTCGAGCCCCAGCGATGCCACAGCCATCTGTAAGTGTTCACCCACAGAGGAAAAAAGTCTAGCAGGAATGTGTGATGGAACGAGTCCTGGCTAGCGGGGAAGCTAAGTATAAAAAACAAGTTCATTTTATTTACCTAATTGAGATGCAGAACTAAAAGATTAGAGCACTTTTGACTCAACTAAGAAATTTGAGTTGTGTGAACTCTTGTGTCCTTAAATTGAGTCAACTCAAGAAAAGCCAAGAAATCAGTTACTTTATCATTTTGAGTTGAGCCGACCTCTCATTTTTAAGAGTGTGCAAGGCTTGATTCAAGGATTGTTTTGGTGAGACATTTTCCACTTAACCCAGATGTAGTGGATCAGTCTAGACATGTTTGGTGTCCACTTTTTGCTCCTTTAGTGCTGGAGCTTTGAGTGTGAAAAGTCACCCAAATCTTTTCTGTAAATACATCCCCAAAACTTTTCTTTTCCTTCTCAAACCTCATCCAGCTCTTCATTAAGGTCTCACAGACTTGTTCATGTGGTTTAGGAAACAGTATGACTTGCTGCAAGATATAAAAATGAACAAAACCTCTCTATGTAGCTGAATGCTGCGGGCAGCCACTTTAAACAGGTCTTGTGCCACATTCTGCCTGCCTTGCAGAATCCGACGTCCCTTCACATCTCTCTGGCATATGGATGCTACAGATTCATGGTCATGATTTCTGTTGTTGAGAGATGTTTTAGAGATGTATTTACAGAAAAGATTTGGGTTATTTTGGCACTATTGACTTGACTATTAATTTGTTAGCAACATCAGCCTTTTAACTCCAGCTCCAAACTAAAGAAGCAAAATTTGGACACCAAACATGTCATGGCTGATTGACTAGATCTGAGATAAGAGTAAAATTGAGAAAATATGATTTGTCACCAAACCTTTCTTTAAACCCTCCACGATCCAGGTTTATTTCGTACAAAGGCTTATTATTCCGTAACTACAGGGACTTCATCGCAAACTAATGGAGCTATTCTTAGGTTATAGATGTGTGTAATAAATCTTTGGGCCTGCCGGAAGGCCCATGGCTTGTTTAAACAATTCTTTTAGTTTATGTGATATTATCTTTAATGTCATATTAATGATTCAGCACTAGGTTTATAATATACTACAAAACATATCTTATTGCTTACCCTTGCTGATGGTAAGGACAATCATTCAGTACAATAATTCTGTACAGCACAGTAAATCCATAATGCCTTGTTCATTGGCATATGTAAGCTGATATTATGTTTCCATCACAGAGCCATGTTCGAAGTGAACATGCGTGAGCGTGATGATGGCACAGTTACCCTCAGCAATCTCTCCCCACAAGCTGTACGTGCCTTCCTGGACTTTGCATACTCGGGTGAGAGCGAGATCGGGGAGGAGAATGTGGACATGCTCTTTCAGCTCGCATCCTTTCTGCAGGTGAGACATGAAAGCTTTCATCATAGAATTTCATGTAAAATTACCAGCAGACCATCAACTTTAAAGAGAACCCTGACTGTTAAGCCATGTAAGACTCAATATGGTGTACATGTCCAGTACTGTTGGAATTTGTTGTATACACAAAAATACAGTATTTATTGTTATAATTGACAAAAACTCTCTACTGGTAAGTTGCCATTTTGTTGTGGCATCAAATGGTTGCTCTTTCTCTTATCCACTGAACAGTGTGCTAAATATCTGATACAATTAAGCCTTTCTAACTTTAGCTACAGCATAACCCAAGAGAAAAAAAAAACTTTTTCATTGTCTTATTTTTTCATAGGTCTGGCTCCCCTGCAACCATATAACATCATGTAACTAGTACAGTGATTTTGCCATTTTTTCATCTTTGAAAAAAAACATGAACCAAATGGAAATGCTTTGTTTATTATACAACCCCATTTCCAAAAAGTTGGGACACTGTGAAAAATGTAAACAAAATGCAATGATATGCAGATCATTTAAACCCTATGTTTCATTGGAAATATTTCAAGGACAACAACATGTTCCAAAAAAGTTGGGACAGGGGCAACAAAAAGCTGGTAAAGTTGTGTAATGCTAAAAACACACCTGGTGGTTGATTGGCAACAGGTCAGTAACGTGACTGGGTATAAAAAGCATCCCAGAGAGGCAGAGTGTTTCAGAATTAAAGATAAAAAGGGATTCACCACTCTGTGAAAGACTGCACAATCAAATAGAACAACAATTCAAGAACAACGTTTTTCAAACTTTTGCTTTTCATCATCTACAGTACATAATATCATTAAAAGACTCAGAGAATCTCTGTATGTAAGGGACAAGGCCAAAAACCAGTACTGGCTGGCTGTGATCTTCGGGCCCTCAGGCGGCACTGCGTTAAAAACAGACATGATTCTGCAGTGGAAATCACTGCATGGGCTCAGAAACACTTCTGAAAACCACTGTCTGTGAAAACAGTTCATCACTGCATCCACAAATGCTAATTAAAACTCTTGAACACAAAGAAGAAACCATATATAAACAGGATCCAGGATTGCTGCCACCTTCTTTTAACCCAAGCTCATTTAAAATGGACTGAGGGGAAGTGGAAAAGTGTTCTGTGGTCTGACGAATCAACATTTGAAATTCTTTTTGAAAATCATGGACACTGTGTCCTCCGGGCTAAAGACCACTCAGCTTGTTATCAGTGCAGAGTTCAAAAGCCAGTATTCATGATGGTGTAGGGGGCATTAGTGCACATGGCAAAGGTGACGTGCACATCTGTGAAGGCACTGTTAATGCTGACCGATATATACATTCGGTAACATACGCTGCCATCCAGACGACATCTTTTTCAGGGAAGGCCTTGATTATTTCAGCAAGTTTATGTCTCTCCACATTCTGTATGTATTACAACAGCATGGCTCAGTATTAAGAGTCCAGGTGTTAAACTGGCCTGCCTGCAGTCCAGATCTTTCATTATAAAATGAAAAAGACGACAAAGGATACCCTGAACTGTTGAGCAGCTGAAATCCTACGTTAAGCAAAAATGGGAAAACATTTCACTTTCAAAACTACAGCAGTGTCTCCTCAGTTCCCAAACGCTTAGAGAGTGCTGTTAAAAGAAGAGGTGATGAAACACAGTGGTAAACAGGCCCCCGTGCCAAATTTTTTGGAATGTGTTGTTGGCATCAAATTCAAAATGGGCATATATTTTTCAAAAAGCAATAACATTTCTCAGTTTCAACATTTGATTTGTTGTCTTTGTAGTATTTTCAATGAAATATAGGGTTTAAATGATTTGCACATCATTGAATTTTGTTTTTATTTATATTTTGCACAGCATCCCAACTTTTTTGGAAATGGAGTTTTATAATAAACAAAGCATTTCTATTTGGTTCATGCCTGATATTTTATTGGTGTCAGACATGTACCCCATTTTAAGGCATACATGTCTTAACAGCCTGGGCTCCAGGGTTAAATATTCATTTAAAAATCTATTAAGAATAATTTTTCTTCACAGATGATGTGTAAACATCCCCTATACAGTCAAAATTCACTTAATTACAAACCCTAATAAACCCCTGAAGCTGTATGTATGCATAATTTATAACATGTAAATCTACATTATAAGTTATAATTATACATAAAAAAACAAAAATGATTATTATGTGATATAAATATTTGTTTTATTAGAGTTGAACTGAAACTCCTATCTGTCATTCCAATTATTGGAGAAATTTACTGTAAATTTCCCCAAATTTATGAATGTAATTACCTTGACAATATTTCCTGTTAAACATGTGTTTGCAGGTGAGTGTACTCTCTCGTGCCTGCAGTGACTTCCTGGTCCAAACCCTCGACCTTTCTAATTGCCTCCATCTCCTGGCAATTGCCGAAGGCTATGGCTCGCCGCGCCTCTTACACCGCTCCACTGAGTTTGTTGTGGCCAACTTCCATGTGCTCTCCTCCAGCCCGGACTTCCTGGAGATGCCAGTACGGGTGCTGGAGCGCTGTCTGTCTGCTGACTCCCTCAGCGTCCCAGATGAGGAGAGCGTGTTGCGATCCCTGCTCTGTTGGACCCGGCATGAGCCACAGAAGCGCCTCTCCCTGCTTCCAGAGCTTCTGTCCTATGTCCGACTGCACCAACTTCCCCTTGCCCTCCTGGAGGAAATGGGCCGATCAGAGCCACTATTGCGGGATGAGAAGGAGTGTTTCCGAGTGATAGGGGAAGCTCTGGAACAGACAAGGGAGTTTGGCGGCTTCTTCCTGGATGCCCGTCCATCCACCACAGCCAGCTACATCTATGTGCACAAGACTGAGGAGGACGGGGTGACCCACCATGCTTTCTGCTATGATGTGGCAGCTGACCGGTGGCGTGAGCTTCCCCGGGATGCCGCAAGACTTGTCGATTTGCCGGGCTCATCCCTAGCTGGCTTTGCGGAGAAGCTGTTTGTGACTGGAGGCTGTCGAGGCAACTGTTGCCGGACAGTGCGGCTCCACATCGCAGAGCCTAAGCACGAAGCCACCGACGAGGTTTGGTACTACTGTCCTGTCATGGGCAGCTTTGTCCAGGCCCCGGCCATGGGGAAAGCCCGCACCATGCATGCTTCAGTCACTACTTTGAGTCGTCTCTATGTAATCGGCGGGAAAACTAGCGGGTCCACACGCTGCACACAAAGCCTGCCAGATGTTGAGTACTATGATCCATTGCGCCGCACTTGGAAGTCGGTCAGCCCACTGCCACGCCGGATCTACTTCCCAGAGGCAGCAGCATGTGGAAGTGTGATCTACGCACTTGGCTCTGAGCTGGAAATGTCAGAAGCCTTCAACCCGTCACTGGACTGCTTCTTCCGCTATGATACCATTGCTGATCAGTGGTGCCAGCTAGTGGCTGAGTTCGGCCAGTTCTTCCATGCTACACTTGTCAAGGCTGTGGCTATTAATGACACGCTGTACTTATGTGACCTGTCTACCTACAAAGTGTACAGCTTCTGCCCAGACACTTGTGTGTGGAAGGGTGAAGGCTCGTTTGAGTGTGCTGGCTTCAACGCTGGGGCCATAGGTGTGCGGGACAGAATCTACATCCTGGGTGGGGACTACTCTCCGGATGAGATCACGGATGAGGTGCAGGTATACCACAGTGGACGCTCTGAATGGGAGGAGGTGGCACCTATGCCTCGGGCACTCACTGAGTTCCATTGCCAGGTGCTCAATTTCAACCGGTACAGAGACCCTTGGAGGTCAGAGCCAGCTGAAACACTGTGAAAGAAGTCATGAATATCATCTGAGCTTGCATGGACGCACAAACCGTTCACATAGGTACTAAATCACTATAGATATTCCAGGAAAAAAGCATGCATGTTTTGCACACCTCCTACTAAACTACACACATGTTCACTGTCATAACAAAACCCTCCAAAATGGACAAAATGTTCTTAACTGAGCCCCAAGGAACACAAATCTGTGGGGACACAATATACATGTACATAGCCTATAAATCACTTTCTGATGTCCACTAAATAGCTGATATATTTCACCGAAGTTCTCCTCTTTCAGTGTAAACTAGACACTCCTTCTTTTGTGTAAAGCTTGCATAAGCATTATTCGGTAACACTTTCTATGAATGTCACCTTTGTAAGCATCTATAAACACATTCATAACATGTTATAATGCATTCATAAAGCTTTATAAACGTGGCTATAAATATTTATAAAAATGCATTACACGTTATAGTCATGCTTATTATGCATTATGAATTGTTAACATAATACATTATAAGTACTGATCATAACAAATTATAAGAGCTCATAAGTTGTATTTGTCCGCTCTAAGTAAAGTGAAGCGCACTGTACTAAAGCCTCCTCCAGTGTTAAGAGAGGCTTCAAGTTGAAGTATTTACTGAAGGATTTACTGAAACAGTAAAACATACACAGTAAAGCACATTACAGGCTTCAAATGTCAGAGTTTAAACTAGTGCTGCCATCAGTGTTTTACCCAATGTGGGAAAGTCAATGTACACCACCGTTAGCTTGGTATTTGTCTTTACTTTGCACTCTCCAAGCTGGGACTGACTTCTTTGGCACTGACAGTATAACATGTTATCAACACTAATTATAATGCGTTATATTAACAATTCATAATGCATAATAAACATGGCTATAAAGTGTAATCCAGTGTAATTCATTTTTATAAATGTTTATAATCATGTTTATAATGCCGTATGAAGGCATTATAACGTGTTATAAATGTGTTTATAGATGCTTACAAACGTGACATTCATAGAAAGTGTTACCCATTATTCTTACCAATAACAAGTCTCATGTGGCTTGTCTCGCCCACATAGCTTTAACAAACTCATGTTCCCCGACAGTCTCACGCCATTCAAGTAGGAGAAAACTAACAAAAGTGAAAGCTAACTTAGCACACATAACTGAGGTATCAAACTAGCTTGTCTGTTATAACTCATCAGTTCATTCAACTGACAATGCTAGCATTCCATGGGTGCACATCTAGCAGTAAGGTGAATAAAAACCTTACCTCCTTTAAGGAATCTTAAAACTTGCTAAAAGTTCGAACCCTGGTGATGCTACAGCCATCTGTGGTCAGGAGTCCAAGACAGCACAGTTGGCCTCGCTCTCTCTGGGTGAGTAGAAATGGCTCCCCCTTCTCCCCCCATCACTTAGCGTGATGCTAGTCAGCGCAGGTGTTTGTTAACTGACGTAGCAGAACTGGTGGTTGGCGCTGTACTCTGGGCGTGGTCAGCTGTCCGATGATGTTGCGTGAACGGCTGTTCAAAAAGCGCTTCAGAGGTCTCGGAGGAAGCCTGTGTTAGCTTTAGCCCTCCTAGCAATGGTGGTGTCATGTGAATGAGAGAATCCTAATTAGTGGGTGGAATTGGAGACGACTAAATTGGGGAGAAAACTGGAACTTGATAAAAGCTGCATGACATCACCTAGAGCTGGACATCACCTATATATTTAGAGCTAAATTCATTCATATCTGCTTGCTTGTGCTACAGCATTTACTACAGCATCAGTGGCATAGCAGGCTGGGAGTCTTGGACCAAGGGTTGTCAATCAAGTTTGCTCATTAGAATATTAAGACTGCACTCAGACAGTTCTAAGATTAGATCTTATCTGCATTTTATAAGCATCGTTTTGTCATATTTTTATCTTGGTTTTTTAATTAACACTTTAGTATCATGATGCTTCATTAATATTTTACACTGGGCCTGGGGACTTCTATTGGTCCTTTCATTATGAACTATTCACATAATATAAGGGACAGCTAGAGTAGTGATGTAAACAAATTCAAAAAGCAAACTGACATTTTTGGAGGTTTTGATATGACAGCGAATGTATATATGTTTCCACACTTATGCTGAAGGTGCTCAGTTTCAATCAGCACAAATATCTGTGGAAAACACATTCACACAGAGCGCCAGCTCCTCAGCAACAACTTGTACAGAAAAAAAAAAAAATGTTTCTTTGGCTGTTCTTCTGAATATACCAAATAGATACATTTACACTTCAAGAAACAAAGAAAAAAGTAAGAAAAAAGAGCAAAATATAGCTCTGTAAAGCTATATTGCACAGTAAAAATATAAAACAAAAAATAAAATAAAAAAAGCTAAAAATGCACTTCAAAAGTTCAGAATCAGTGTTATCAATAATATAAAACAAATTGAGTTGCAGATTCACAGAACTTCACAGGCAATAATTAGTAGGCAGCTATAAAAATGTTGGAAATTGTAGAAGTATCCAGAATTACGTATTGAGCTATAGATGATTATATATTCAATTCTAAAGGCAAATAACTTCAAAACATCAAAACAAAACATCAACAACATCAATTAATATGACAAGTGATTCTAAACTTTTGAATGGTGATGTACACACTAGGGAAAAACATGCAAATATTGCACACATAAATAAACAACATATGTTTCAAAGCTAAGCACTAAGATCCATGGACAACACATGCACTTTTCATTAGCATTAAACAGACACACACCTTCGGATATACACACTTACAAACCAGAACACACACTCTCTCACTAATAAAAACTATGGAGTCTTCACATCAGCAAAGACAAGAGGAGTGGCTATTGAAGCTATAAGCTATGTTACTCCAAAACAAGTGAAAATATAGGACTTAAAAAAAAACAACAAAAAAAAAACCAGAAAAGCACTTAAAGGGACACTCCAGCCGAAATTTAAAACGTAGACATCACTACATGTTGTAAACATGCTAACTCACCTCCTTGCAGTAAGTAGCCAGAGCTAGATTGTCCAGTTTAAAGAGCAGAGAACCCCTTTTCGATGATGTATCTTGAAGGGGGGGAGGAACTTTTGCAAAACTACAACTGCTTTGTTGTGTTTTGAAATGTTTTCGTTTCATTTCATTTTTTCTGTTAGCTGATGAATGAGAAATGAAGCCGGATAGCTAACATTACTGCAAGAAAGATTAATATATTATTGACTCGTCAGACAAGAAGGACAGCAAACAAAAGCTAAATTTAGCATAGTAATTAGCTATATAGGTAGCTTACCCCAGTTTAGCTTCTTTACTCTGCATAAAAGGGTAAAAATAACTGTCTCTGGCATCCATTCTATGACAAATAAAGATAGCATTGCTGTTTTCTTCGCTATTTTGTGTGAACGAGGTAAGAGCTACACTAATGCTAGCTTGGTTATTTATTAGCCTGTAGATCAGTGACTAGCAGTCAATTGTTGGAATTGTTGACACCGCAGGGATTCCTAGTGTTTGTTTGATGTATTTGCATTAAGCATGCTGGATATAAGAGGGTAAAAATGCTACACTACAAAATAATGCATAATATGTCACATACCATATTAAACTCTACTTTTTTGGCTGGACTACCCCTTTAAATGCTACGGTTCTTGCTAGTAAAAATTCATGCCTGTAAAATGCACATTAAAAGATTAATCAAAAGCCTGTATGATGAATATGTCACAATAGTATATTATAAACAATCAAGCAATGTTTGCACATCTGATGAGTATGGAAATATATCAATACAGAAAAATACATATAACGATTTAAACAGTGCTACAATGTGATGTTTATATGACAAAATTAAACTTGGTGGAAGTTTATATGAGTACAGCTGTTTATGAACATTGACTGTCCAGAAAAAATTCAACAGGACATCCACCAGCTTTTCTGAATGCACTATTTTCACACTTTAGTGACTCCTTATACATCCCGGACTTAATTATTATACATGCACTGGCTACTCAATTACAAACCCACTTTCCTTGTAGCTCTACCTTGTTCAGTTAGTGACTGTAGCTCATCTGGTGATGCACAGTTTGTGTTAGCCATCCTCTATCTCTTCATCAATGGTCAGTTTATGGCCACAGAGAAGCTCTCATGAAAGTTTGTTCATTTTTATAGTTATATTAAGTCGTCCTTTGTCCTAAAACACATCCACAAGTCGGCACAACCGTTATGAAGAGCTGAGTGCAGATTTGGGGGGACTTCTTGTGTTTGTTAGCAATGTAGCTCTAACCTCTTATTGACCAGGGTATATTTTGGTTTATCCATCTGAGTTTACATGACCAAATCTTAAGGCAAATTATTCAGTATTTGTAAAAGCTCCCCTCAGATTAACAGAACATGTGTTTTATGATCATACACATATTGCTATATGCTTACAATTTAGTGCTGAAAGCCAAAGATCTTAATATAAAAATGATTTTTACAGAGCAGATCACTGAAGAGACGCCATCTGTTTATAGTTTATAGCCCAGATTTGTGGAAAAACGGGTCGACTTTCAGTAGAATAAAAAAATTCAGCTTCTTTTATTGTAAGGGTTTAAAATTACATCACCCATCTATTTGACTGGAGAGAAGACAGTTACAGCCTCATATGACCCCCACCTTTAGAATGTAGCTTATGAAATATGAGAGTTATGAAGAACAAGACGAAGTGCGTTTTGGAACCACCGGTGGTCTCAAGGAGTTGAAGAGGCTAAACTAAAAAAAGGCAAAATAAGAAAGAAAAAAAAAATGATTGGCTGACTACATATTGCGTAAATAGCTACCAAGAATTGGAAGCTTGTAGCTGTTTGAGATCACTAACCAAGTTGTGTGGTGATGTATACAGGCATGAGGCATGTTTGCTCATTGCTAATGTTGGTGAGCTAAGCTTCCATTACTAGTTAGCTACATTAGCTTCACAGCTCCACAGCAAAACTAAAGAAGCAAATTTCAAACACTAAAATATTCTTTTTACAGAAAAATTACCAGTGCTAATTCATAGATGTACATACATAGGTACTGCTTTGTCTGTTGTTCTCAGCTGTGGTGATGTGTCTCCACGTCCGCCATTTTGTGCTCAAGATTGTAAATAAATGCATGTGTATTGAGATATGATGAGTTTTCATGATTAAATCAACCATAATTTGCTCATTACTCACCCGTTTTTTAACAAATGCATTTTGTTACAATCTTCACGTAATTGTTGTTTGTTAAAGCATATGAGTTACAGGGCACTGTATTTGTAATTCACCTCAGTTTCCAAAAGGTGGCCATATAAGACCTGTCAAAATTTAAATACGAAAGCTGTCACAGCCATAAGCAGTGTCAGAGTAAAGTAATATCTATATTTACCTGTGGGGAACAGTCGGAGCCTTCTAGGCCCTCAAAGAAGGCCTGAAGATTTCTGGGAACTACAAAAAAGCATCTCTGTAATTTTTAGCTTCTGCAAGTATTACGCTGCTTTTATTATAAGTGCTATAGTACTAGTATTACTATTGTTTCATTGTTGTATTTAGAATGGAAACAAAAAGGTTAACTATATGCTAATATGTCACAAACTTCAAGTAAAACACGATTTCCGAATTTTCCGTCCAGCCTTAAACGGTGCAGCAGTTACATTCTGGTGTACCGCTCTCACACATCAGCAAATCCATACATGTGTGAATCACTTCTAATGTTATAATTATAGAACAGTACCTTTCTTAAACTGCCACTATGTAACTGTACTGGATGCAGTCCGACAGCTGTGTTGACTGCCCCCAAAACAGCGGTGCCATTGACATGCCTGGCTGAATCCACAGTATTACCTTTCACAGCACTAGGTACAGATTAAAGATTTTTTTTTGCGCTGGCATGCAGCTGCATAAGCGTTGCAATGATGATGGCGTCCACCAAAATGTATTATTGTATTAATATATTTAAGTATTTATATATTTAAGTCAGAAAAAATGAATGTGAATGCAAGAGCTCAGCACCTTTGTCACTGAGGACGTTACATTTGGAACTTTTTCATTGGCATCTGAGAAACATTTTTAAATGGTCTGACATCTGGGAGGGCCTGGCTTCCAAGTGGGATGGCCCCTGCTGTAGCTACGCCCCTGACAGTCTATAATTGTACACCTAAAAGCAGGTGGAGCTACAAGGTGTAGGGGTTTCTGATACAGTGACCAGTGAGTGTATATCTGTGAAAAAGACACTGCACCTGCATCCAAGCATTCTAACTAAGCAAATCAAACACAAAAAAGATGTGAAAGATGTCTTGCTGAAATAAATAAACATACTAAGCTCTTGAGTTTGTGTTGCTGTTTATGTTGGCTGTACAGTGCCAGCGGTGGCATGATGCCCTTCACCATTCAGTAAGTGATAAAGTGGATTCATTTGTGTTTCTTCCAAGGAATTATTCAAATCATTATCTGTATAGGGGGCCATTGTGGTCTCATAACTTTGCAAAAAAACTTTAGATTTTCCTTTTTTTATTAAAAGCTCATTTCTTTAATTAGGGCGGCACAGTGGTGCAGTGGGTAGCGCTGTCGCCAGCAAGAAGGGCCTGGGTTCGATTCCCGGCTGGGTGACCAGGGTCATTTCTGTGTGGAGTTTGCCTGTTCTTCCCGTGTCTGTGTGGGTTTCCTCCGGGTACTCCGGTTTCCTCCCACAGTCCAAAGACATGCAGTCAGGCCAATTAGAAATGCTGAATTGCCCCTAGGTGTGACTGTGTATGTCTGTCTGTCTACCCTGCGATGGACTGGTGACCTGTCCAGGGTGTGTCCTGCCTTCTGCCCAATGACAGCTGGGATAGGCTCCAGCAACCCAGAAGGATAAGCGGTTTAGATGATGTATGTATTTTAATTAGACTGTTAAGAAACACTTCCGTCAAGGTGAAACGATTCATTTTTTAACTGCAAATGATTCATTTTGTAACTGCAAGCAGATAATTTTTTAATTAACCCACAACATATTTCCACCTTGTCATGGACAAGTCTCTTACTCAACAACATTCTTAGTTTATGTTAAAATATTTTTAGTTATGAAATTTATTGTGAAATACTGTTTTTTCAGCCAAATCCACACAAGCTGCACTTTTTTTTAGACAAAATCTCACAGCAAAAAAATTTTAGATCAAAAACGATTTACTTATTTCTTAAGGGAAAATTTGTTTATTTTGATAAAACATGAAGATGATTGGGTGGACAAAGACATCACAAGTGGACTTGATGCACTAGAACAGAAGAGAATTAAACACATGAGATGAATGATATTTTATGAGAACGTTTCATTCAATTTGAAATCAAATTTGAAAACAAAAAGTTACTGCAATTTTTGAAGTTTTCCCATTTGCTTTTGTAGAGTTTTCTGGTAATTCTGGAATAGTTTGTACAGGAACATACTGTAAATTATACAGTAAACTCTAGAATGGCTCCCAGAATTCATGCAAAATACAACAGACTGTGATTTAAGAATACTTTTATGGTAAATAGTAGTATTATAATTAATTATTCATACAGCAGTATCATAAGCTCCATTAAAGCAAAACATTCTGTTGGTTCTGATGCTACTGATGTCAAAGATCAAGTGTCTTAACATACAGTAACTCCATCATAATAAGGTAGACAATTTCAGGGAAACACAAAAAAAATGGTCATTATTATGATAAACATTGCAATAGAAATGTTCAAAAGATCTAAACTCTGAAAAAATGATCTTTATGGCTGTAAGAAAATACAGAAGCTTTTCTCATTTTGAAGATGATCGACTGAAGACGATCCGGCAGCACCTGAAACATATCCAGATCCCCTACATCCGAAAGGAATATGGTGATACTGATAATACTGATAATGATCCAGAGATGCAGTCATGGGTGGGATTACAGTAGCTAATAATCTGAAACCATCAGTAATTTATTGCTAACTGGCCCCTTCTGTGACAAGTGCGTGGAATCTGATCATGGTTGGAAATCTCACCCCCCTACAGGGGCAGAGATTTTCTTACATGTGGGGCTAATGGTGCAATCAGATGGGCCATGTGAACTTGCCAAATTGCCACGTCTGCCACAAGGCAGTTGCACTCAAACAGCTGACAAACTCATAAATGTCAATGGTACACATGGCCAAGTTCCATGTGGGCTTATCAGTCGTGATGGATCACCAGCCAGGTTCAGCAGAAAAGGCCAACAGTGTGGTCATCCAAGTTAATATATATAAATTGCACTTCGATTTCTTTATCATGAAGTAACATAAAGCAATGATAACAGCCAACTTACAGTGAATCAGTCAGCAACCATCATGTATCTATTTATTTCTATTTGCAGTCACTAAAGTCATTGTTCCACCCAGGCTACAGTTATTTATTACACATATAACTGGTAGTTTGCTATGTCTATGCTACAAGCAAGCTGACACACCCACGTACTGAAATGGCATCGCATGCAGCTGTTTAGTCAAGTAACAACATGCAAGATATGCAAAACCCACTTCTAATATAATATAATATAATATAATATAATAACTGGTTGCTTAGTAACAAGCTTCTTACATGCATTTTGTTCTGATATGAATAGGCCAAATCAGGATGTGTGTGAACATAAAGTTTGGCTATACTTTCAGATGCATGACTCACATCAGGTAAACATCAAAGACGCTCAATTTAAGGCATAATTTACAATAAATACGAACATAACAGACAAAACATTTCCAGTCACAGTAAAATATTGTTGCGCTTGATACTGCATGGTCAAGTGCACCTATTGTATCTGTTGCATCAAATGTATCTATTGGTTTTCACTTGTTTTTCCTTGTTTTCCAAATTTCAAAAACAGCTGTAAGTATTAATCCCACAGAAGGGTCCTCTATCCTTGGTCACACTAGAAGCTGAAGCCAATGACCAAAATAAATTCTTTACTCTTCTAGATGAAGATGAAGTTGCCAAACACTATTACATGACCAATATGTGCACCAGACTGTAACCTAAGACGATATGTTGATGCGACTGCTATTTTTGGGTTTACTTTGTTGGGAGTTTGACATGTTTGTGAAGGTGGGATTGGAGAGCACCTTTATAAGGCCTGCAATGAAATATGAGGCTGGTGCAAGTTTATAATTTTCTGACAGAAATGAACAACATGGAGATTTCTCTATTTCCAGTCTCTTGGATAATTCAGTCTCAGGATTAGTACAAATCCTGTCATAGCAGTGCGGAGATACCTGTGTTATCCACCTGGAAGTAAGTTGTTTGCTGTGGTGATGTAATATTTATTTGGCCTATAACCCATTTATTTCAAATACTAGCTAAAATTTAACAAAGTAGAATTTTCGGTGGTCATTTTGGGTTTTTGAAATATGTTATTTCTGTTTTTTTTTTTTTTTTTTTCTAGAAGCCAAGTCATTAATAATATTAAATATTTTCCGGCCAATATTATGACTGACACAGACAACATTAAAAATACTCATGTGACATGGCTCAGGGACTTCATACCACTTATAGGAAGAACTGCCTTGCTAAAAAAAAACAGCACAGCACTGGTCAAAACTGGTCTATTCTTGTTTATTCTGGTCTAGTGCTGGTCTGCTGCAGGTTTAGCTGGTCGCCCAGCATGGTCATGCTAGTTGACTAACATATTAGCATCCAAAACATAACATATGCTGGGTGGTCTGTCTAAATTGTCTTATTTTGATCAAATGTTGTAGTGGTATTCAGTAATTTGCTTTTGATAGCATGTCTACCACTAAATGGTACAATGAATGGTACACTGAATAAATGTGAGCCCATTGTTTTTGGCTAACAACAGAAAGCTAAGTATCTTGGTTTGCTAAGTAGCACCTATTGGCTTCCATTCATGGTTTACTAGCCCTCATTATTAGCAATGCTAATATTTCAGCATTTCAGTCATCCAGACACTCACACACGTCTTCATTTCTTTCTTTTATTTCACTTATGCTTAAGCAATCATGTTGACATGGCAAACAAATGGAGGCCTACATTTATAATGTTAAAGCACTGTGAAAATGGACACTGTTAGAGGTGGCTAAGCTACAAACAAGTATACCAAAGCAAAAGAAAATGAAGTTAAGATCCATGTAATTAATCTCTATTTTACAGAACTCAGCCACTACATTTCAAGGCCCCTCTTCATTTCTTGAGTGGTCAGAAAAAGGCCTTCTCTTTCTCGTTTCCAACTCAAACACCTCCATCTGCTGGTCAGGCTGTGCTGCATGATCTCTTTCCAGCTGAACATCACAAACCAGGCGAAGCACTTAGCCTGCCAGGTGCTCGTTTCAATTCTGGCTCAGGCGTCCTGGTAGGTTTTGACAAGCAGCCACATGAGCAGCACTGTGATCAGGACGATCATAAAGTTCAGAAAGAGTTCCTGTGTTGACCTTTCCATCTTTCACAGACAGGACAGGGGTCACAATCAGGAGGACGGAGAGGAAACTTGGAGATAAGAGGGAGACGAGGAGATGAAAGTCTTGATGTGGAGCCCTTCAGCTCAGTGCACAAAGAGTCTGGCAGAAAGAGAAAGACATAGAAAGGGAGATCAGCCACTCTGAATGATCTGAATGATGCAGGAATTTTGAACTGGGGCAGAGCCCCAGTATGTCTTAATATAGCCCTGCCTCTAACACATTTGTCCTGGACATTAATATGAATGGTTTCTGACTGTCTGTGTGCACATGTCCCCCAAAATGTTATTTGTTTATGAACAATCTAACATAATTTGCTGAATAAAGTCTTTATTTTTCCCATTTTTTGCATACAAGAGGGTTTGAAACGTCTCTACCGTCAGTCACGTACGCTTGCATAAAAAAGTGGATTAATATGCGCTCTGGAAGTCACGTCCAGGTTTAAATCCACCTGTTGTCTTTGAGTTTCAAATGCTCATCTTTCATCTGCTCAACTGCTGCTAAAATCCCCTTGCTGACAGCTTTCTGGCTTCAGCTATGCTTACATAAACACTGCCCCAAAAATACGACCCAAATAATGCTGTTGTTGAGGGATAAGGTTAAGAAATAAACAATATTTGTGGTCTTAAATGGAATAACAGTCGTTGCTTAGGGCCATTGTGACTAAAACAAATAAATAATGTCAAATTGGTGTTACGTATGGATACATATATATACTGCGGTTATATATGGGAAGAAACACTGGCCAGATTTTAATTCAGTTTAGGCCTGAGATAAGGACTTCAGTTAGCAACTCGGACTCTCTGAAAACTGATTAAATTGGAACTGCTAATTTCAATACGGTAAAAAAAATTCCAATTTCACATCCCAGCAAAACTAGCACATGTTGTGTTTTGGATGCTGGTATGGTGGTCAACCAGCATGACACTGCTGGGTGAGCGGCTGAACTGGCACCAGAGCAGCATAAACCAGTTTAGGCCAGATTAGACCAGCATGGAATGCAGCAGGGACACTTGACTTGCCAGTTTTGCTAAACTCATTAGCAGTAATAACTGCAATGGCGTTCTCCTGTAGCTCACAGCAGTGCCAGGTTTGAGATGGCTTCAAAAACAAGCCCTTCACTATAGTAAAAATTCAGTCTAATGAACAGAATGAAGCATGCAGTAAATATGGTGTTTAAAGGAAAGACGGCAAAACAACTTGAAACCGCTGGCTAGTTCATGCAGCAAGTATGCTAGCTAGCACTAGGACTAGCTAATATAGCTGAAGTTGTCAGCAAATCGAGATTAAATTTTAGAAGGATGCAGAAAACACTTACTAAACTTACTAAAGTTTCAGGTGGATTAGTTCTTGTGCTAGCTAGCCAACCAACTAATGAACAATTCCAATTATTTCTCCTCTTCCCGCTAAAAACCACTGTGTAGCGCTTCAGTTCTGAAATGAGAGGCATATCATTTGAAGCTGTGTTGAACCTGACAGTTTACTTTGGTACAATGCAATGCCTGCAGCTAATAATGATGCTAAACTAAAATTCTTCGTCAAAGACTCCCACCCTAAAGACCCAAGACTCACACTAGGATTAGCAGGAATCAACTTGTGAACATCTCTAGTTCAAGGTGGTTCAATGTGGTTCACTGGTTCACTCCTTCTCATGTTTCTTCTCTTGGTTAGAGCTTGGAGGTTAGAGCACTATAGAAACTCTCCTGTGCACTACACATCCTTTACAGTACACTGTAGAAAACAGAGCTTTAACAATTTTGTCCCACATAGTGCCAGATGTGTTTTACAAATGTTTTATCTATCCATCTATTTAATATTCTGGATAAATTCCCCATCCTTTCTTTAAGGATGTACTTGGTCCAGAACTTGAGTCAATGTGTCTTATTTTATTTCATTATTTAATTGAAGTTCTTTAAAGTCCGTCTATCTGTCTTTCTACAGTCTTTCTATCTATCTACAGTCATGTGCAAAAGGTTTAGCACCACTGGACGAATGAGGTTTTGTTGATTTTCTATGTATAAATAAGTACACATCCTCTACAGAGAACACTATGACTGTTTATTAAGCAAATAAATATAAATTGCCCATTAAAATTAACAGACAATGCCATATTTAAGTTTGCTCCCTGCTGAAAAAAGTTGTTAGCTTAGTTTCACTTAAATAAACATCAAATATACATGTAATTTGACCAGTCTGTCTGTTTACATACTTATCTGTCCATAAATCAATCAATCCATTAATCTCTCTCTAAATCTATCTATCCATTAATTATTTTATTTGTTATGTGCTTACCTGCACACCTGCAGGACCTTGATATTCAGCAATGACTTGCCCACAGTCAGAGACAATATCTCCCCCTTGCTCGTCCCTCTTTCACCTCTCCTGTTGTCTCTTGATGCAGACCTTTCTGCTTTCTCTCTGCCCCCAAAACTCCCACTGCTTAAAGTACCCTGGCCAAGCAGCACCTCCCAAACGGGGCCTTCACACAGACCTGCTGTGACATCATAGGGCAGGGCAGTTATCTAAGACCACCTTTCAGTGAAAAAAAAAAGCTGTGTGTGTGAGTGCACTGCCATGTATTTAGCACTTTGTGGGGAAGAAAATGCCCCCAGGAAGGTGAGGTGTGAAAAAGGTGACCGCAAACAACCCACACTGCCTAAAATGTAGTAAAATATGTCAGAAAATGTTCTGCTTTCCAGGTATCATGACTAAAAATATGTTGCTCACCATACCAACACCAGAAGGTCAGTCTGTACAGTATCTACATCTTCTTTTAAAACATTTCATGAACAATCATCATAAATGGTGGCCATTGAAAAAACTGCCCATCATTTATGTCCTGCTAAAATGTGCTTGGACCCCAGTGATCGCCAGTTGTGGCTGTATCACTATAATAATTTGTTTATGGTCCCGTTAACAGCTCAACAGTTAGAACAGTTCATAGAAATCAATGTTTTTATGAAAAACGACATCAATTTCAGATTAAAACTAAGCTGTCATGGCTCACTTTAAACTGCATGAATCATTAGCTTAGGTTAACAAAAGCTAATTTAACTGTGAAAATAAAAAACTTCTAAATCCTCTGATGAAAACCAGGGTAATTGAGAATCTGCTCCAAATTTGCTTAGGAAGACAATGCACATATTATCACAGTGTATTTTTCCCTCACACAAGGTAACAGAACTGTGGAAAACTGGAACTGTGCATGTTTCATTGTCCATTGGTCTAGTATTAAAGGTTCCATGTAATGTTTTTGGTATGTGCTCAAGATCTGTACCACCAGGACCTAATAATACTACAGGGTGTTCTCCTCTGTGATTAGTAACACTTGAAGCTGATGCCAATGACAATTTAGTGAGCCCTTTACTCTTCCAGGTGACGGTAAATTCACCAAGCACTATCACCAGTACACACACCATAATATAAACTAGGCTGGTACATTGACTGCTATGTGTAGAATCATTACTTCATAAACAATCCATTAAGGCAGATCCAGATCTGACGCAAGTACTAACGTTATTGGTGTTTATGCTAGTCTCTACAAGTGCTAATATTTTCACACGACATATAAAAGTATAGGCTTTGCTTAATTCTACACACAATTCTGTGTAAATGTAGACATTTTTGTGAGCTGGCAAAACAGCGTAGTATATCATTTTTTATCAGCTAATAAGTTAAGCTAAATGTAAAGCAAGGAAGCTATTTAGTTTTTATTGTGGTTTTCCAAATAATTAATGCATGAATTATAATAATAAAGGAACAAATGCCACTATTTCTTTTTTAGTGAGCATTCTAGTTTAAAATTAGATGTGGAATCTGATACAGATCTGTCTACTACAACTGCTGAAAGTTTTTCTGGAGATGTATGTGTGTTATTTTTACTGAGTCCCCCATTGTTTTCGGATTAGACCAGGGCTACCCAATCTCACATAGGGGAGACGCGTGTTATTCGGCGTTGGCATTTTGCACGCTCTTTCTGTATGACATAAGATTAACTTATGGCACCGACCCACGCTCTGCATTGTTTTTGTTCAACGTTGTGGCCTTTAGATAGCTTACATGTCTTTATGTCAGTATAGCTGCAATAGACATGTTTCAAAAGCATCCCCACAGACACTAAAGAGGAGATAATAGGCCCCATGAGGTATCTTAGAAAGAATAAGAGATAAAGACAGAAAGATACCACAGCACAGTTAGGTGTTTTCCCTGCTCTAACATAGACTCATCGTCCACTTTATGAGGTCCACCTGCCTTGTAGGTCCACTATATTGATGTACAGTTACAGGCTCATTTTGTTGTACAGTTTGTCAGATGGCCTTTATCCCATTCATCCCTGGTCAGTTTTTTACAACACGGATGCTGTTGATCAGATATAATGGGTGGTGAACACTTCACTCCTTCTGTTTTTGTCCAAAACCATAGAATGGACCTTCCCATTTTGAGAAGAATAACCTCCTTGACACCAACCAGTCCAAATACAAGCCTGGACACTCCACAGAAACAGCCCTCCTTCACATTAAGAAGCAAGGGAACCAAGGAAAACTCTGTCCTCATCCTCCATAACTTGTTGGCTGCCTATGATACTGTAGAAGTAGCATTATCATAGAGGTAGATTTTTTCCTCATGTTTTGACAAAACTTTGACATTTATGGCCCAAACTAAAGGCCTGTTGATGCTGTTGATCAGATATAATGGGTGGTGAACACTTCACTCCTTCTGTTTTTGTCCAAAACCATAGAATGGACTGTCTTAGCACAGCTACCTTCACATCTTGAGAAGAATAACATCCTTTACACCAACTGGTCTGGATACAAGCCTGGACAGGATCTTCAGGATCAATCTTAACAGGTAACCTGGAATACTCTTTTTTAGCTCCCCACAGCATCACCACTGTCCCCTACTTCTGTTCTCCTTGTATACAAAATAGGTGGAATTAGTGAGAATCTACATGGTTTCTCTTACCATTTTATGGTGATGACACTCAACTGTACTTCTTCTTTCCTTTATCCACCTTCCAAATCTCTCAAGAGATCTCTGGCTGCCTTTCTGATATACCTTCCTGGATGGAAACCCACCCCCTCAAACCGAATCTCAACAAG